AAAAAAAAAAGAAAAAAGAAAGAGAAGCTGTGGAAACTCAATTACACTGACTTTCAACAGTGTTCTTTTTAGTAAGTTAATTACTTGCTCTGGTCAGTTGGGCATTTAGAACACTTTTGGATCAAAGCTTTTGCTGTGTCTGCTCAAGATCATGCTTATCAGTTATCAGATGCTTGGGACACATAAAGCACTTTAAGAATGGAAGAAATTTTTATTTTTAAGAATTACAGTGGGTTTTTCTTCTGTAAATATCAATCTTATTCTGAAATATTTTGCAGGTCAGGATCAGAATGTTTTCGAAGTTGTTGTCTAGTCTTTGTAGGAAGTAAGCAATTTCTGGGCTGTATGTTCTAATGTGATGAATCTGAGATTCTAATTTCTCAAAGTAAGCAGGATCACAACATAGCTGGAAATCATGTTGCAATCTGGAATCAACTATAATAATTGATACATTCTTTTTCTCTGATGTTGGATAAATGTACAGGCACTGATTCTGTCAGTGTCTGCTGATGGGATGTGGACCTTTCTGTGTACAGACATGATCATAGTGACAAATACTACTTCTCTGATGGAATGCAAGGGGTGGGTATACTTCCATGTGAGAGCTGTTACCCTCCATTTGTATATTGGTGGTGGGTATCTACTTTGAAACATTTCCCATTCAGTGTTCTTCATTGCTCCATGAAGAGGTATCAACTGTTGCCTGGCGTTATCACTGAGGGAATTGTTTGCTGTTGTGGGGTATGGTCAAGCCTAAAGGATTCAACGAGGGGGATAACTGCAGGAGAAGTAGCTGAATGTCAGCAACTGACTTCGTGGTTTCTTTTGTTCAGTTGGCTCTGATCCAGAATTTGCCCGCTATGTTGCTGGAGTCAACCAGGCTATGCAACAAAAAAGGCAAGCACAGCACGTCCGTCGTCCAAGCAACACCCGTAGCAACTGGCCTCTTCCCGATGATCCTCATAAAACCTGGCCCTTTCCTGAGTATTTCACAGAAGGGTAAGAGATTGGACAGGCTACATAGTTTTATTGTTTGAGTCTAATTTTACACTCAAACTTGGCAGAATGGGGGAATACTGGGTGTTTTTTCCAGTTGCTACTGCATCTGTGAAAGCTGCACTTCATTATGTCAAGAGTGAGAAATCTGAGCCCTTCCTGCTTCACTGATACTGAAGCACTGACATTTGTTTGATGTCTTCTTTAGAGTGGAATGTATACGAATTTGACTTGAACAGAGGAAATAAGGAATTTATAGCACAGATTCATTCAGAATGGTTTTCTTTAAGAATTCTGAAAACCTTTAAGACCTAGTTTTGATGAATAGTGATGCTATCGAAGTTGCAGTGCCTGGCTGAGTTCAGCTTTCCAGATTTTAGCCATTTAATCTTGCTGCTATAAGGCATGTGCCTTATACCAAGAACTTCAGTTATTCTTAATGTCTTCCAAATCATAACTATTTTATTACAACGAAGTGTTTCAAGATCCTCTGTCCATCTGTCCATAATAGCTGTGATTCTCCAACTAGCTTAAAACCAGTAGGACAAATGTGTGTTCTAGCTCAGTTTTGCAATGAAAAAGTGCTCAGTGATTCCAAAACCAAGAATCCTTTGTTTCTCCCTCCTGACCAAGAGAGGCACTTTTAATTTATATTATTATTTTAGTAGAATATAAAGTGAGTATAATAGACAAAGCAGTTGATGTGATTAAATAAGTGGAAGTATTTGTATTACTGGTACTTTTTACAAAGTATTGAAATTTCTTTGTGCTCTGAGGTATCACCTGTGACAAAAATTCAGCATAACTAACTCGGGCATACAGCCTGGACCAGGCACTATACAAACAAAGACTAATACAACTTTTTGCCTTACAGTGATGTGACAAATAGCTGGTCTGGTACTCAAGGAGACTCTGCCAGCTCAAGTGATGAGACCTCCTCAGCTAATGGAGACAGTTTGTTCTCCATGTTCTCAGGGCCAGACCTTGTTGCTGCTGTAAAGCAGAGAAGGTGAGCAAAATTAACAGAAATACATACCACTTCGTAAAATTATTTTTTTGCTATTTTCAGTAGCCACACAAAGGAAACTCCTGCCAATTAGACGAATATATACAAATGTCAGTTTAGTTGATGATATGGATCAGTGCATGGTGCGTCTGAGTTCAGTGCTTGGGATTCTCAAATTGAGTTGTATTAGTAGCTGTCATCTTAAACAAACTAGAATCTGCAAATAGCCAGTTGGCTGAAATTCAGTGTGTCTAGAAAAGATCTGATGCTTTCCCTCTTCCAAGATAATCTATTTTGGCTGACACTTCTTTCTAAACTACTGAAGTCTTAAGAGTTATCATCTTTGAACTGGTTTTCTAAACTGGGTACTTCACTGCAGCTTTGCCATGTCCCAAATGTTGTGCATTTTGATGCCAGCAGGTTCCTATCTCCTGCCTTCTGTTGCAAATTTGTAGCACTCAAGAAATACTGCTGATAACATTGTGTAGACTTTTGTCTGGAGCACCTGACAAACTGAAGCCACAGAAGGGTGTATGTCAGGGGCAGATTGATTTGGGTGACTCATTGTTTTTTAAAAAAAGTAACTGTCACTCTATTTTTTGGGCAGAAAACACAGCAGTGGTGAACAAGAACCTAGTACACTACCATCACCACCTCTTCTTTCTGCAGATGACCGTAATCAGGTAAGCTGAAAATGGCTTTGCTTAGTCATTTTTCCTGTTTGCATTTTGGGCTGGTTTACACTAGGAAAACAACTAGAATAGCATCTGCATCTCCAGATTGCCTACCTCAGCTAAAACCAAAACCATCTGCACTCCAGTAGTTATAGAGGCTTTTATCAAAGTTGCCAAGTTTAAATATTAGAACTGGAAATCACTTCTCTTTTTCTCTTGTAGCAGGAATTATCACAAAATCTAAGATTTCAAGTTAAGCTAGGAGGCAACACAGTTGATTTTAATCGTCTGTGCAAAGAAAACTGAAGTATCACCAGATTTATTATCTGTCTTGCTAGAAATTTTGACTTAAAGCAGGCCTATGTCTCAGGCAAACGTGCTAAAGAAAATAAAATGTTTTTCAATAGGCAGATATTTTAAGAGTTGAGAGTGCTATATAATATATATATATGCATCAATTCTGCTTTCAAACATAAATTAATCTTCTGAAAATGTCTTAAGGGCATAGGATGATGTGTTAAGTATTGTCTCAAAAAATAAGTGTTTTGGTATTAAAACAAGGGGGGGAAAAAGACCCCCACAAAACACCCAAACCAACTGATTTTGTTTTCTCAGGATAATAAAACCAAAACTTGGCCTCCAAAGGCACCCTGGCAGCATACATCCTCTGTTACAAACACGCTCCCCGGTCAGAGCACATCTCTCTATCCCATGAGCAGCCCAGTCAGCCAGTGGAGTGACACGATGCAGATCCTCCAGTCACCGGTGTGGGCGGCAGCCAACGACTGTGCAAAAAAAAACTCTAACTTTGCCTACGCGCAGCAGCAACAGCAATCGCAACAGGCTTCCCAGCACAAACAGATGAATAAGGGCTTTAAACCTTTTCCGGTAAAGCACGAACGCAGACCATCTTACCTGCATCAGTACTAACTGCTTTTCATATTGGAAAGTGCAGCACAGGGCCAAACATAAATTACATATACTTTGTTTCACAATTGTGTATTGGCTGTATCCTGTTTATCTCATTAAATACGGAATTGAGGGGATTTGGGTGAGATATACAAACTCTTGAATTCTGATTTACAGTGCTGAGCAAATATGGCCAATATGTTTGTTTGTTTGTACATGAAACAGCCCAAAACTGTGATGTAGAAATGCTTTTAAAAATGTGTATATTGCCTTTACTTTCAAAATCTTTTTTTAAAAGAACTGCTGAAGGACTACCATACAAGAAACACTGTATTTTATAGCTATTTTTCATATAGATTTATAGTTAAACATCTTATGAAACACACTGAATATGTTGAAGCAAATAGATAGAGGTCACTTTGCTCAACACTGTGTTTAAAGTTACAATGGACAAGCTGTAAAGCCTTTCTATTTGCCGTAAATGGCCTGTGGGCGCCTTTTTTAAAATGAAGTGCAACAGCAGCTTTTTGTGTGCCACACGAGTTGAATTTCATTATGAAACTGTTGCAGAAACAGTTGTGAAATTTGAGTTTTGTGGTAGTTTCCTTACTCGAAGTAAAGCATCAGAACCACTCAACCTTGTGTCACAAACTTTACCTGAGCTGCTTAAAGTAGATGGCGTCTGTGTGGATAATATGACACTGGTTTTCAAATAAACGCACCCTTTCTTACTGCTTCATTTGGCCAAAGGCATTATCCACACAGTGCTCCTTAAGTGTGTGAAAGTATAGCCTAAGAGACTACTTGCGTATATTTAAAGTCTTAGTTCAGATGCTACAGTTGATGAAAAATTGTGAGCTGGCTCAGAAGATACTAAACTGAAATGTGGGGTAGCAGTTAGTTAAGAGAACCTTTTTTTTTTTAAGAGGATAAAGTAATTATTTGCAGACAATAATGTGCCATTAAGTGAACCTGTGGAATTAGGAATAATCTTCCAACCAAAGTGGATCCTGGAGAGTTGACTGGTGCTTAAAATTTGAAGAACAATGGTAAATATATGTATAGCTATCCCACTGTATATTAACTGAGATTACAGAAGATTCTTTATATAGTTAGAGCTTATTTAAATTTTCATATTTCATCTTTGAAAGAGTCTAAAAACCACAATATTTTCTGGTATAAGAGTTTTGACAGTATTAATCTTATTTTTGTATTTTTCTTAAGTCATATCATTCTAATATGTTAACTACTAGTAAAATGGGTTATTAGTTCTAACTACATAATTTTTCAATGAAGATAAAGCACATTTGTTGTTTTTGTTTTTACAAACTAAGTACATCTATATCTAAAGATACCAAAAAAGAAATACATTATATATATATATATAAAGTATACACAACACTAAAACTATTAAACATTTGGGTATTTAAAACCCATCCACCTTTTTTGTTCGTATGGTGACGGGCTATATTTGCAGGCCCAGATTGTTACCTTTTGTGCTGTTTGAGGATGCCAATGTTGCCTGTATTTATGATATTGTCACCATGTTTTCTGAAACTTCATACTTATGTTTACAAAGATTTGTTTGCTGTACATAGACTTTTTACAGTAATGTGCTTTGCACAATCAGTGTGGCTTCTGTCTGTAAAATGTTAATGGTCTGTACTACTATAATTTTGAAAACCCTCTGCTGAAAATGTTAGTGGTTATTTAACTTGATGAATGGTTTTGAGTTTCCTAAATCTTGTCATTTAGATCTAGTATTAAATCCTAAATTTGGTTGTACTTACTGGTTATTCATACTAAGACCAAAATGGAAGTTAATGAAAACACTTAAATTTTGAATTTTTTCTAACAAGTGCCAAAATTATTGCTACAGTTTTTGCAGTTTATTCATAATTACAAATGCTGGCAAGTCGCTGGCAGGTTTCTGGACCTACATAAGTGAATTGCGAAAACAAAGTTTGTCTGCATTTGACCACGTAGGTGCTACTCTGTCCTTTGCTTCCGATCGTTTTGAACACTGGTGATTTTAAGAATTGTTGCACTTGGCAAATGAGTCTTGCCATTAAACTTCACTTACACTGCCAAGTGCAAGGGTTTGGTGCTTAGTTAACTTACCCTTATTGCAGTGCTTCTTGTGAATAGCTAATGCTTCTGAACTGGAACTGTACATTTTGTATTTTAAAGCTTCTGTAAAAGTAAACTATTTGCTTTATTAAAGATACATGTTTAATAGGTCATACCTGTTCAAAATATGCACCTTCCTGAAAATGAGCAGCACCTTAAACTGTAACTTTGGTTTGTAAACAAAGATCTTATTTCATTAACATGGGATTATTTAACAGTTTGAAAATTGTCAACTGCGTACTTACTGACTCATAATGAAATGAACTTTATGCACTGTACGATCTGAAGCATCTTAAAGGGCAGTTTTTCAAGTACATTGCACTGAAAAACATGATACAGAAAGTGCCCCAGCACTGTCTTTGAACTAGCAGTGCAGACGAACATTGAATTTTTAGCACTCACAGAGTAAATAATTTTGATGGTAGTGAGTGAAAAGTAAATTCCATTCCCTGACAAAACTATTATCAAGGCTATTAATTTAGCTTATGTTGATTGTGCCACTGAAATGCACTATCAGAGGTGTGCAAGTAAGCTGTGCTCTGTCTAGCTAAGAGTGACCATACCTGCTGACAAATACCCAGGAAGCATACGAATCCATTTTGATTTTGCAAGAATTTACTTGTTGACAGAGTCTGCAATACAGAGCATTTCAAGCAAAAACCGGAACAGTCTTGACACACCTCGGGCAAACACAGCCTTTTCTCACTGAAAGAAAGGCTCATTTCTCCCTTGCACTAAATTGCTCCAAGTTATGCAAGTCTCATCTTTCCTAGAAAAATTAACATTTGTTCCACGAAATCACCGAGCTGCTCCTTTGTTAACACACTGCATTAATACAGAATATAATTTAGAAATAACATTTTTAGTTTATTAAGCACAATTCCTGTGATACAATATACAAAACAGTCTACTGCTTATATATATATATGACAACATATATGACCGACTTTTTGTCATGCTGGAGGTGGAGAGAAGTGACCTAGGTAAATGCTTACCTTATTATTACACAACCTTAGTCATGAAACAGGCTCTGCTTCAATGGGACTGCAAGAGTCCTCCAAAGGCATCTCTGGTAGTGCTGTCCTGACAACCAGGCTATTTTCAGAAGTATACTATGGGGAGTTTTTTGGGGGCGGGGGAGGAAGTGTGATAAATAATTATAAGCCTTAAGTTCTGCTTACAGTAACACAGAAAAAAACTAGCCTAATATTACAGCAAAATCTACATTCATGTTTTTAACATAAAAGTATGGATGACTTTTTACCTGCCTTTCAAGACCACAGCTCAGCTCTCAAAGTGGGACTCTAAACTATTTCTACAGATTCTAAAAGCATCACTGCTCGTGTCCTGGTACACGGAGTCAGTCTGCAGTCTTCTGTGTGCTGGGGGGCGTCGCATCAGCAATTGTAGCTAAATAAATGAGGTTTCTATGCAAGATATGCTGGTACCTGTGAGAGGAAGAAACACATTATCTGGGAAATTTGTTCTTGTCTAGCAAACTACTCACACTTGAATACTCGCTTTTGTAATCTGATCAATATTTGCTGTTTGGGAAAGACAAAACTAAAAATAACAACAACAACAATAAAAAACAGGACAAACACTTCCACATGCTCTTTTTGTCCTAAAGCCCAGTATGCTGCACTGGACTGCACTCTAACCTCGTACCTTCTGCTTACCAACTTGGGTAAGTAAGTACACGTGCACGGTAGAATCACTGCATGATTGACGCTGAAACGATGCAGAACTGCAAGAAAGCAGCTCAGGGGCAAGAGATGACAAAGCTCCGCGGTTGGGCGGGTCTGGACCTGCAGCCAGCCCGCGCCCAGGCTCAGCAGCCGTTGCCAGGCTGTCACTCAGGTCCTCCCCGCGTTTCAGAGCCCAGCTGCTGCAGAGCCACAAGCTGCCCACCCTCACTCTTCTGTAAGGACCCCTCAGTGTTGTACACACCCTGGGGGGGAGGAAAAGCCTGCCCAGAGCTGTGTTCCACGTTAACACTGAACAAAAACTGCGGCAGAAAGGAGAAGGCACCAGATTTATTCTGCACAGCATTTCTGCTTTACAGAGCTGTGAAAATACTCCTTCGGGAAGCCTCAGAAGAAGTACAATCGCATTTTCTTCTTAACGGCGGAAGGCTCTGGAGAGCAGGAGCCGCGCTCCCCTCCCCTCAGGACTTCGGGGACTTGGAAGCTGCCGGGCCCCGGA